AATGGCAGGCATTTTGATAGTTATCATTAGCCCTTTAGTTGACTTCGGGCTTCACAGAAGGGAGGAACATTAAAGTGAGAAAAATTCGACAGGGGCAAAGAAGAGCGATTCACAGATTTAAAAAACAGACAGGCAGGCACAAAGGCAGAGAAAGGTGATTCGAGTACTGTGGTAGCTGTGGAATATGACATACAGTGGGGTTATGGAAGTTTGAAGTCAGAGGTCAACTACCGGTTAATAGACTTTTTTGCCGTATGAATATACGTTGCCCAGAGTGCACCACGTGGAGGTAAATCTATCGCACATCCCAAGTATATAATATTAGACTATATATATGTATATATAAAGACCAAAGGAATTTTTCCATATTCATGAAAAAAATCATTCTAATCAGTAAAAAGGTAGCACATGCTAAAGCATATTATCAAAAGGAGAGCAAATACTTTCCGAATGAAAATAAAACGGCCACCTTAGCTGCCCAGCTAACTTGGTAGTAATTGATTGCACAAATTACTTAATCCACATATGGCCACCATGGAAAGTATATGGAAAGGAATAGGGACAACTTGGATAAAGAGGTTGTAAATATACTCCGCGAATGCGAGAGCGTTTGTCGCACAACTATCACCGCCAATAACCACAAAGTTTACCCACATAACTACTAACGCCGGAAGACCACCAAATGCCTCAAGAATATAAGCGTATTCACCAACGGACCTTTGAATTCGTACACCCAGTTCAGCGTAAACAAGAGCGCCGAGGAGACTAAAAAGTCCTGGCACAATCCACATTATTAGAGATAGACCAACAGAATTAGTTTGCTTTAGAACACCAACAGGAGAAACGAAGATGCTGTAGTGGATTGCTACGCTAGTAAAACCTGACTAACTCAGAAATCTCTATAGCAGATTCTCCAACATCAGGCTAGACTCCCAGAACTAGCTAAGCTATAGCCCAGCTATAAAGGAAACAGACGTGTAGCACGGAGCACGTTCATTCAGTGCGGGTACACGCAGGGAGCTACTCATGATCAGTATGGGGGATTAGGTTAAACAGAGGTTGATGATTGGCCACTGTTTGTGCGGTCGCTGCATACAGAGTTGTACGGCGCACCTCCCAATCCTAGAGTGCAGACATGCGACAACGCACAAAGCGATAGCGTGTCCCACAATGCCAGATCCAACAATAATCCCAAAGATGATACTGACAGCCTATTTTAATTGCACGGCATCACCATTTTTAGCACAATTTCAATGTGACGTAGTT